TCACCAGTCTAAACTTCAAGCTGTTGGTTCTTAGTGTAGGTATTGGTCTTGAAGTGCACGTCCTTTGTGGTAGATTCTCACTAGTCTAAACTTCAAACTGTTGGTTCTCAGTGTAGGTAGTGGTCTTGAAATACACGTCCTTTGTGGTAGATTCTCACTAGTCTAAACTTCAAACTGTTGGTTCTCAGTGTAGGTAGTGGTCTTGAAATACACGTCCTTTGTGGTAGATTCTCACTAGTCTAAACTTCAAACTGTTGGTTCTCAGTGTAGGTAGTGGTCTTGAAATACACGTCGTTTGTGGTAGATTCTCACTAGTCTAAATTTCAAACTGTTGGTTCTCAGTGTAGGTAGTGGTCTTGAAATACATATCCTTTGTGGTAGATTCTCACTAGTCTAAACTTCAAACTGTTGGTTCTCAGTGTAGGTAGTGGTCTTGAAATACACGTCGTTTGTGGTAGATTCTCACTAGTCTAAATTTCAAACTGTTGGTTCTCAGTGTAGGTAGTGGTCTTGAAATACATATCCTTTGTGGTAGATTCTCACTAGTCTAAACTTCAAACTGTTGGTTCTCAGTGTAGGTAGTGGTCTTGAAATACACGTCGTTTGTGGTAGATTCTCACTAGTCTAAATTTCAAACTGTTGGTTCTCAGTGTAGGTAGTGGTCTTGAAATACATATCCTTTGTGGTAGATTCTCACTAGTCTAAACTTCAAACTGTTGGTTCTCAGTGTAGGTAGTGGTCTTGAAATACACGTCGTTTGTGGTAGATTCTCACTAGTCTAAATTTCAAACTGTTGGTTCTCAGTGTAGGTAGTGGTCTTGAAATACATATCCTTTGTGGTAGATTCTCACTAGTCTAAACTTCAAACTGTTGGTTCTCAGTGTAGGTAGTGGTCTTGAAATACACGTCGTTTGTGGTAGATTCTCACTAGTCTAAATTTCAAACTGTTGGTTCTCAGTGTAGGTAGTGGTCTTGAAATACATATCCTTTGTGGTAGATTCTCACTAGTCTAAACTTCAAACTGTTGGTTCTCAGTGTAGGTAGTGGTCTTGAAATACACGTCGTTTGTGGTAGATTCTCACTAGTCTAAACTTCAAACTGTTGGTTCTCAGTGTAGGTAGTGGTCTTGAAATACATATCCTTTGTGGTAGATTCTCACTAGTCTAAACTTCAAACTGTTGGTTCTCAGTGTCTTGAAATACACGTACTTTGTGGGAGATTTTCACTGGTCTAAACTTCAAACTGTTAATTTTATAGGTTAGTATTTTGCTAAACGTTTTAAACTGGTATATTTTGCAGGTGTTAGATAAATATCCACATAGCAAAGTGTTGGCCTGTGCTCCGTCGAATAGCGCGGCTGATCTGATTTTAGAACGAGTGGCTGAACACCAGATCGTGCCGAAGGCGCAGATGGTCCGTCTCAATGCATTTGGTCGTGGTGAGAATTCGGTCAATAAGAAGATTCTGGTATGTGGTTTCTTTTATTAAAACAAAAAGTGTACTGAAAAAAAGCACAGTTACTGTTGGTGACAATTTCGAAAAATTTGGTTGACCAATACACTCCTTCGCACAAATTTTATATATGAAAAAAACACGAGTTAGTTTTGAGTGTTTCTAGAGAGATATTCGGCTGTGTTCTAAAAGCTCACTCACACTCAATGAGTGGAGGTTCAATCTGAGCTTTTCTTGAGTGTCAATGTTGTTTTTGAATAGCTGGATGGTGAGTAGTCACATAGTAAGGTACGACACTAGCCCTCCAGCTATTCAAAAACAGCAATGACACTCGAGAGAAGCTCACATTGAACTTCCACTCATTGAGTGTTAGTGAGCTTTTAGAATACGGGCGATTGTCTTTAGAAGGTAATCCAATAGTGCTTCTTCTCCTAATATTTCTAGGAATATTGCATCAGCGACGGAGATGGGTTTTTTCGTTTCCCCCGAAAAGATGAGATTGAGAATAATTACAGATTTGTTGTGACTACTTTGATATCTGCTGGAAGGTACTAACTATATGTGTCGATGAAACTTTGACGCGTTCAATAAATATCACAAAGCTTGCGAGTTGCTGTTTAAAGAATTCATTTTTTCTAAGTCCTCCATCACTGCCTATCAAAACGTGGCCGTCCATAAGACTGTTGGACGCATGCTTGGCTAAATCTGCGTGGTCTCCGCAAGGGAGTTTGCGCAAGCTGTTACAGGTCTGCAAACAAGTTGTTACAAATCTGTTCACAAGCTATCGACAAGTTGTGTTCGCACTGCTTGTTCCCAGTTGTTGTAACAAGTTTGAAACAAGCTGTTAACAACTTGTAAACAAGCTTGATGACATTATCAGATTTGTTACAAGGTTGTTCTAACAAGTCTGATACAGTCATGATATAACAAGAATGTTACAAGGTTGACGACACAAGGTTGTAACAATGTTGTTATATCATGACTGTATCGGATTTGTTGGAACAACCTTGTTACAAGTCTAATAATATCAACAAGCTTGTTACAAGTTGTTTACAGCTTGTTCCAAACTTGTTGACAACTTGGGACAAGCAGTGCGAACACAATTTGTTGACGGCTTGTTCGCAGACTTCTACAAGATGTGAGATTTTTGCGTACAATCTACCGTACAGTATGTAGAAGGAGGATTTGGAACTATCTTGGCAAACATTAAAAATTTCGATGTTTATTACCGTGCTGTCGGCATCATTTTACTTTGAACTGATGTAGTGATATTTGGAAATTATTGTTAGACTTTTTCAAAACGATGTCCATTTTCATTGCTATAGGTTGGTGTCGTTGGGGATTCCTAAATCTCATTTTACCCACGTGTTTATTGACGAGGCTGGCCAGGGTATGGAACCTGAATGTCTGGTACCCATTGTAGGATTGCTGGAGACACAAGGCCATAATCCTGGACAATTGGTGTTGGCTGGGGATCCTAAACAACTTGGTCCTGTACTGCGATCACCTATCGCGATCAAGGTATTTACTTAAAGATGTTGTTAATTAGTTAAAGGACAAGTTAATTCAGTTTTGGTTTCGTTTTGTAGTGATGCAAATTAGTTTAGTGTAGGTTTCCTCCTGTAGCAACACTGGATCAATAAGGGATGATCCTTAATGGACCTCTAGGGAGAATAGTTTAGAACTGATAGAGCTATCCAGTATAAATAAAGCTATACTTTAGCTTAGGTTTCCTCCTGTGGTAACACTGGATCAATAAGAGATGATCCTTACTGGGTCTCTAGGAAGAACAGTTTAGAACTGATAGAGCTATTTAGTAAATAAAATTATTTTAGTTTAGGTTTCCTCCTGTAGTAACACTGGATCGATAAGAGATGATCCTTACTGGGCCTCTAGGAAGAACAGTTTACAACTGATAGAGTTATTCAATATAAATAAAAGTTAGTCTAATTATATTGCTTATTTTTTCCTAATTTTTAATATATATAGTTTGGCTTGGGTATGTCGTTTCTTGAACGTCTCATGGGTCCAAATTTCAGCTGCTTTAATCGTCAAGGATTGAGCGACCAGTACGAGCCAAAGTTGGTCACAAAATTGTTGAATAATTACCGATCACACCATGCTATTATTGATGTTAGTAAGGAGTTTTGAGATTGACATTTGGTTAATGGTGGCGCAGTGGTTAATCGCAATATTCAGTTGCCTGGTTGTAGTCTTAGAGTTTCTCCAGTTCATTCATTTATTTAACTACTCTATACCAAACGCTGTTTTTTTTTCGCGTATTCCGATTTCCTCCTGTAGTATAACGCTGGATCAATAAGAAATGATCCCTACTGGGCCTCTATGGAGAACAGTTTAGAATTGATAGAGCTATCGAGTATAAATAAAGTTAGTTTAGTTTATGTTTCCTCCTGTAGTAACACTGGATCAATAAGAAATGATCCCTACTGGACCTCTAGGGAGAACAGTTTAGAACTAATAGAGCTATCCAGTATAAATAAAGTTAGTTTAGTTTAGGTTTTCTTCTGTAGTAACACTGGATCAATTAGAGATGATCCTTACTGGACCTTTAGAGAGAACAGTTTAGAACTGATAGAGCTATCCAGTAGAAATAAAATTAGTTTAGTTTAGATTTCCTCCTGTGGTAACACTAGATCAATAAGAAATTATCCTTACTGGACCTCTAAGGAGAATAGCTTAGAACTGATAGAGCTGTCCAGTAATTCATAACTTAAGGTTAAACTTTATTCTTTAAGCTTCCTAACGAGATGTTCTATGACGACGAGTTACGCGTATGTGCAGACGAAGCACAACGGACCTGCCTTTGTCGCTGGAGTGGTCTGAAAAAGCAAGGTTTTCCTGTGATCTTCGAAGCCGTCTGCGGCAAAGATCAAAGAGAGGAGAACAGTCCATCGTTTTTCAATCCTGAAGAAGTTTCAGTGGTATTGCGTTATGTGAGAGAATTGAAGGAAGCCAGGGGTATACCTTTGGAAACCTCTGAGATTGGAATTATTTCACCTTATCATAGGCAGGCAAGTTGAGTCAAAGATAGTTTATTAAGTCGGTAAACTCATTTCGAGATCACACCAATTATAAGCTATAGATATTATAACCATAGATAAACAAGATATAGATACCATCAGTTTCGATGCTCGTTCTCTCCCATCAGCGTGATGGGTTACATGCCTCCAGTCAGGAGGTATCAATGTGTCTGTATTTACTAGTTAAAACATGCATGAGCAGCCGATCTGTATCTGATATACAAACTCGAGCCGAAAACGAGAGTTTGTATATCAGATACAGATCGGATGCGAATGCTTTATCGTAGGCCTACTTAAAAAATGACCCATCTTATGAGTTCATTGGCGAAGTAATTTTAAAAATAAACATTGTCTAAGCCGGGAAAATCAAAGCTGAAGTTTATGTAAATCAGGACAAATCTTTATGGATCCGATTTACAAACATTGATTAAACATTCATTTCTTTTATATTTTCCTCGTGAATTATTAATGAATTTTTTAAGATGACATACATCATACATATAAGTGCACCTGTGTGATGATATACATCATGCATACATCATAAAACTGTATTGTTTGAACATGCCAAAATTTACTGAAAAACCAATTGGTTTCCGAACGGTTGATTCGCTTCAAATTAGAAGACATAATCCTTTAGGTGTGCCTTCTTTTGTTTTGCTTCGCACAGACACAAAATATTGTAGCACACGAAATTATTGAACAGAACCCCCGAACATGCATCAATTTAGTCTCAGCTACATTTTGTGGTTGAACTACAATTTATCAGAAAGAATAAATGACGCAGAATACGCCATTCGGTACCGCAGTCGAGACTCTGGACTGGCTTAGGCCTAAAAAAATACCTGTGGTTCCGGTTTCATATCTTGAAAAAATTAGGGTTGGTAGGTCGGAAATTTTTTTTTTGAATATTTTTTCATGGTTTTGGCGTTTTTTTGCTGGGCGATTTTCAGTAGAGTTCCGACATCAATATTAACTAGAGATGCGTATTTCCTATGGACAAATTTAGGCAATTTGGTTCAATAATTAGTGTGACAACAGACGCCATTTTGGCACGCTGTATGAGCAGCCCGCAACCACCTGGAGAAAATAGGGTCGCACGGTCAATCGCGTTGAAAAAATAAAAGGGTCGGCAGAAAAAAATGGGATCGGTCGGGAACTGGAACCACAGGTATTTTTTTCTTGGGCCTTAAGGAGGGTCTGAATGGGGTTAACTGACTACTGACATTTGCCTGAATTTTTGACTGACAACTGACAAAATATCCTAACTGACTACTGAGAAATGATGAAGTCAGCATTTTGCAGTAACTGACTACTGACAGCTTGCAATATATCGCACTGACAACTGACAATTGGCTTAAATTTTAGCTGACAACTGACACCCAAAGACCCCCATTAAGACCCTCCTTAAGGCTGCATTCCAGTTACGCGTTTTTCATACGTGCGTACACGCACGTAAAAGTTGAATTCGCTTTATATGCACACTACTTATGAAATAACTAAATTTATAAAAGGACGGCAGCATTCAGTTTTGTGTATTTGTTAAGGTTATTTGCACTTATATCATTTTATGCGAATTCAACTTTTACGTGCGTGTACCAAGAAAGAAAAACGCGTAACTGGAATGCAGCCTTTAGTATATTAGGTTTGACAGATTTTAATTATTCCGTATATATTTGTTTTAGGTTCAAAAGATCCGGCGAGAACTGCTACAAAGACCTTTGAGAGTCAAGGACATTAAAGTAGGATCGGTGGAAGAATTTCAAGGGCAGGAGAGAAAAGTGATTATCATCTCGACCGTGAGAAGCAGTGAGGAATTCCTGAAGTTAGATGCTCAACATAAACTCGGCTTTCTTAAGAACCCTAAGGTAGGTTTGACTTTTTGACTGATTCGGGATATCGAGTTAGAGAAAGTTACACAGTCACGAATAAACGCACATCTTTTAACAAACCTATAGCGGACCCGTACCAATGCTGTTTCAACAACTTGTCACCACAGCGTGTTCGCACTGCTTGTTCCCAGCTTGTTGGCAAGTTGTTACAAGTTTGTTGAGCTCAACAGACTTGTTACAAGTTGTTCCAACAACTTGTTGTCGTCCTGAATCGTTCTGCAATTTAACAACTTGTTAAGAAGTTGTGAACACAACTTGTCGACAGCTTGCGAACAGATTCGTAACAACTTGTGCGTTTTTACGTGCGTACAACCACTTCCGTTCTGCTCGTGTTTGTACATTTGTCTCTTATCGACTTTTCATGTTTTATTTATTACCTCAAAACCACTACAACTCTAATATAAATATTGTCAATTTCCACAGCGATTCAACGTGGCAATCACTCGAGCCAAGGCACTTCTTATTGTAATTGGCAATCCTGATGTTTTGTGTCACGATGCACACTGGAGAAAGTAAGTTATACATCTAAAATATATATTTCCAACAATTTGGTGTTGAGGAAACAGTGGTCAAGGATCTATATTTTGCCTCTGTGACCAGCGTTACATGCGTGGATTTTGCAATTGTCTGCTTATACTTTAGCCTCGGTTACATCATTCTCCAAACACAGCCGCAGAGGTACTCACGGAAGAATCTCACATCGTGTCTGCCAACAAGTTGTGTTCGCACTGCTTGTCCCAAGCTGTCAACAATTTTGGAACAAGCTGTTAACAACTTGTAACAACCTTATTGATATTATTAGACTTGTTACACGATTGTTCCAACAAGTCCGATACAGTCGTGATATAATAATATTGTTACAACACTGTGTGGTCAACCTTGTAACATACTTGTTATATCACGACTGTATCAGACATGTTAGAACAACCTTGTAACAAGTCTGATAATGCCATCAAACTTGTTACAAGTTGTTAACAACTTGTTCCAAACTTGTTACAACAACTGGGAACAAGCAGTGCGAACACAACTTGTCGACAGCTTGTGAACAGATTTGTAACAACTTGTTTGCAGACCTGGAACAACTTGTGCGTTTTTATGTCGTGTACAAGCGTAAAAATATCCCAGCTTGTCAACAAGATGTGTTCGCACTGCTTGTTCCCAGTTGTTGACAAGTCTGGAACAAGTTGTTATCATCTTGTAACAAGGTTGTTGAGGCCAACGGATGCGCAACAAGTTGTTCCAACAAATCTGATATCGTCTCCACTATAACAAGTTGTTAACAAGTTGTTGACAACAAGCTCGTGGCAAATTGTTACGAACAGCCTGTGTTAGTCTTGTTGAAACAACTTGTAGCAAGTCTGTTACCGTCATCAACCTTGTAACAAGATGATAACAACTTGTTCCAGACTTGTCACAACAACTGGGAACAAGCAGTGCGAACACATCCTGATATCGGCTTACTGTCGTTCCAATAGGCAATTCCAGCTATTAGTTTATGCCTGCAGGGGATGATGGGAAGTAAGGTATCATATTGCTGATTATGCTGAAAAATTTCAATAAAAACTACCGAAACAACCGAAATATTTCAATATTTACAAGTATAAGCTATCACTCCGTGTTTACACGGCCACCATTTTTATTTTTTCAGCATATTCAGCAATATGATACCTTACTTCCCATCGTCCCCTGCACGCATAAACTAAAAGCTGGAATTGCCTATTGAAGTGTTGCTAAAATATTGATTCAATACATTACCTCGGGCTGACCAATTCATTTGATCAAGTTCCTCGAGATATTCATACACTTCCTAGTATAATTGTAAACTTCCTGTTGAATAGTTTGAATGCACCAATCACCTTTGTTGTTTGTGCAACTAACCAATCATAAATAGAAAGGAAGTGACTAGAAATGATCAAATACTTGGAATTAGCTCTTTCACAGGAAGTGTATGAATATCTCGAGGAACTTGGTCAAATGAATTGGTCAGCCTCCTGTAGTGATGGGCGATACCAGGGTTTTTAATTCGATACCGATACCGATACTTTTAAGATCGGTATCGGCCGATACCGATACCTATTTCGATACCAAAATGAACACAAAATTTCAATTTTCGATACCGGAAGTGAGTACTTAAATTTCTAGTATCGGCTACTTTAGATACCTGCCGGTCAGCGGAAAAACATTATACATTACTGTATGTAACCTAAATAAAGCTATAAGTAAACCAAAAGCCCGAAACGTAATAAATATTTTCTATACATGACTTGGCGCACCACATTTGGAATATTAAGAGTTATTTTAGTGGTTCATTAAGTCTTATTCAACCAAGAAGTGAAATTAAACAAGTCGTTTAAAAAAGGGTGCAAGTATCGAACGATACCACGTCAGTAATCGATACCGATACCGCTGTTTGTGGTATCGCTGGTATCGAATACCGAGTACTCGGTATCGCCCATCACCATAAATAACCTAATTTCGAAGACTAATACAACATTTTTCGAGCAAGAAATGGAAATATTTGAACAACGTAAATAATATAAAATGGGACGAATGAATGGTAAAATTAACTAAAAAGAAAACTAAAATCCTACTAGTTCATGCAGTATATCACTTTTTTAAACGTTAAATTTACGTAAAATTGACCGACCTCCGACCCGCCATACTCGGCATATATTTCTTAAAATTTGTACCTAATGCCACTTTTTACAACGTACGCCTAAAACCTTACAATTTATGCTTAAATTGTTCGTCTTCAGTCGAACCCTTAAAAGCGGTCACTGAACTGTTTCCACCGCTCACCGCCATAGCTATGGCATCGTAATACGACACTCCGACTTCACGTTGATGTTTGTGCGCCGTGAAACCAAACTTCGCTTGATTGAATTCGTCTTCTTGTATTTTCGTATACGCCGTCATGCCATTGTCTCTGTAATCACGAGCTAACTTGAACATGGCATGATTTAGAGAGTGAAAACCAGCCAACGTTACGAATTGGAATCGGTAACCAAGTCGTCCCAGTTCTTTTTGAAATACAGCGATTTCGCGGTCGTTGAGGTTAGCCTTCCAGTTGAACGAGGGGGAACAGTTGTACGCGAGCGGCTTCCCAGGGAATCTAGCGTGGACAGCTTGAGCAAATCTTCGTGCTTCCTCTATGTTCGGTTTGCTTGTTTCGCACCAGAGGACGTCACAATAGGGTGCGTAAGCCAAGGCTCGCGCGATGGCTTGATCTAACCCGGCACGACTGCGGAAAAAGCCTTCAGGGGTTCGTTCTCCTGTTAGGAAAGGTTTATCCCGAGGATCAATATCCGACGTCACTAACCCGGCCGAGTTGGCATCGGTACGGCCAACAATAACGGTCGTCACGCCCATGACGTCAGCAGCTAATCGCGCGGCGTTCAAAAGTCGGATAAATTGTTGAGTGGGTACCAGGACCTTGCCGCCCATGTGACCACACTTCTTCTCCGAGGCCAGTTGGTCTTCCAGATGAATGCCCGAGGCACCAGCCTTGATCTACACGAAGAGTGAAAAATATTTTAGAAAACAAGTTTAAAAACTAAGCGCTAAATTGTTGCTTTGCTCATGGGTTTAAATTAAACGGGGTTAATTTCACTAATGTCCTACTGATATTTTCCCATATTTGTCGCTGACAAAATACTGAGTACCTTAACCGGCAGTTTGAATGTCAATTATTTTTTTTGAAAGTCAATAAAAAGAAACTTTAACTTATAAATACGAAAGTCTAATCTGGGTTACACAAATCAAAGGTCAATTTTATGAGGCTTGAAAAAAATGATCTGAGGCCGGTTGTTCAAAGCTGGATTAGCACTAACCCTGCTGTTTGGTTTTTATGTATTTCTGCACGTCTGTTTATTTCAAAGCGTTAGAGAAGAAAACCCCTACTGAGTACTGATCCAGACAAGATGGTGAAGCTATCGACAGAAAACGCCACGTTACGATTGAAGCGGAAAACAGGCTTGACAAATAAAAGTATTCGATACTTTAGAGCTGGTTTTTCGTGAGGCTCACGAAGGAATTCACGAGTGAAAAACCAGCTCTATACTTACCATATTTTTAACGATTTCAAAAGCGTTCAAAGGCCCACCAAATCCAGCTTCGCAGTCGGCAACAATTGGGAGAAAATAATCCATTTTAGGATAGCCTCCTTCCATGTGCTGGATCTGATCTGCTCTCTGGAAAGCATTGTTGATTCTCTCGACCAACTTCGGAGCGGAGTCGGCTGGGTATAAACTTTGATCCGGGAATGTTTGTGCAGCCAAGTTTGCATCGGCTGCGACCTGCCAACCGCTCAGGTAGATGCCTTTTAACCCGCCCTTTGCCATCTGCACCGCCTGCATTCCTGAAATTTTCATGAACAGATGTAAAGTTAAATTAAATATGGGCAATGATCTGTGATACCGCGAACAAAACTAACAGTTAGACAAAAAAAACTTTGCCATAAAGTGGTGCAACGTTATTTAATGTGTGATTCCAGCTGTGGACAAAATTTTGATCAAGGCAAGAAGAACGAAATCCAACACCACAGCTAGAAAGAGCATCTTAGAATGAGTAAAATTGCAAAGTTTGGTTGCGAAATATTGTAAAATAAAGAAAATATAGTCCTGTGAAATTCGCAAATTTTGTATATATTTGTATTACGCGCGGTAAAAATAACTCAAAAATGGTTATTTTCCCCGCGCGTAATGCAAATATATGTAAATGTAAAAAAAAAATTATATACAAAATTTGCGAACTTCACAGGGCTATATTTTCTTCATTTTACAACAATTCCCAACCAAACCTTTTCGTCCTTCTTGTCTAGATCAAAATTTCGTCCATAGCTCCACGCGAGATAAGAGAATCAACATCACTTGAACTCATTAATAATTCATGAAGAAAAGACAAAGGAAATCACTGTCGTGTCGGTTTTAAAGCCGGTTTTCCACTAGGCGGAATTTTGCGCGCGGAGCGGAATTTTTCTTTGTCTTGTGATTTCTCAGGTGGAACCATGGATAATAAAATAAATGGATAGAAAACTAGC